AACACTACTACTCGACAATGTGGGTACTAAAGCTGAGGAGAACAAACTTATGACCTGAAAACAGCGAACACTGTGCAAGACGACCCTCCAGAATAAGGTTGCCAGGGATCAAATTCAAAGGAGGACATAAGTTCCGCCTAAACGCTAAGGAAACATGGGCCAACAATGTGGCTCGACTGAGAAATATTCCGGGACGACAAAAATTATAAACTCGGTTTCGCTTGAACGCTAACATTGGCTGAGATGATTTGCTGAAAACACGCTGAAAACACGGAGGGTAGCTTTACTTGGCCAGAGACCAATTCAAAAAGTGGGTATCAAAGACTACCTCAATTTCCGTTCACGGTGCACCCATAACGAGGACTAGCCGAATAACTAATAATAGATAACAGTTTGATTATTATTTTTTGAAAGCAGAAATTGACGTTTTTACACAGGAATTTAATTCAGAATTGCATAATATTCAATGGTATACCCAACATGCATCTACAGTGCATAGAATCCTACACGATCCGTCATCTCTAAGAGAAATAATCATATAAAGTTATTCTGCAGCATGAAAGTCCTTTTTTTCGTATTGTAGCAGTATTTTGCATTATTTAAAGTCAAGTCAAATTTCCTGCTTCAGCAATAGTAGCCATCTGCGTTCATTCGATGCACGAACGTAGCAATAATGCGTACAATAGAAAAACTTACAATATACCGCTGAATTGAAGAGAAAACGAGTAACAAGGAAAAACCAGTATAAGTTGTTCCCCTGTTATTCACCGTTTAAACTACAGTAATAATTCTAAGTAATATTTACGTGAATCCTATGAGGCATTTCTCTCAGAAGTAACATAAAGGCAATTCTACACCTCGAAGATAATATAAATGGCTTGGGGGGTTGTGAGCGAAAAACACGGAAACGGGACTTGAAACCGTGGTTAATATCGTGCCTGCACAACCAGCAACCACTGCCACAACGATGGTACTCCAACAGACATCCACGAACTTCTCTATCTCTCACAACGAGGACTGGCTCTTGTTGCCATTTAACATTCCTCCTTGTTCTCTGTTTCGATCGATCCGTCCTCATTGACAAGGATCTTTTCGAGCATCTCCAGCCCTTTGTTTTTTTTCATCCACGCGTTGATCGATCTACACCTGAAATACACCATTGTCCGCTGTTCGAATGGTGTTTGTTTCTGGTCATTTGGCTTGGGCTAATCTTTCCGTCCGGTCCTCTTGTGCGGAGACCATCAATCATTCCACGAAGACTCTACGTGTCGGACATCTGATGAAATCATGCAGGCATGGTCAACAACTAGCCGTTGGATTATCCTCGCCGAAAAGGTTCACGAGTGTTAATGAAAGCAACTGTAAGATTATCGATATACCCTAGGGATCAAGATTATGTGTCTGAATGCTAATTTGTTGCAGTTCTATCTAATCGGATGATGTTCAAGGTTTGCAAACCTTCAATTCAATCCGGTAAACACAACCCTGTCTCCATCATTGACCAAGATCGTCATTTCATTCTCTGAAGACGGATTGAAAACAGAGGATAGTTTATACACAATAAACATGTTATTCTTTCATCGTATAAGACATTTCTCCTAGTTTAGCTTCATTGTTGAAAAATCGTGATTAGACATGAAATATGTAGTAAGACGCAACAATTTCTTGACACCTTAGTAGAGGTGTTAACTGGGCTTTAGATGCAACCTAAGGAGAAATGCAGTAAGCGCTAATGATTGCGAAACACACCGTGACAGTTTTTATGAAAGCCAGTGAGTTGAAACATATAACCTTTTACCCAAGCATGACTTCATGTCGGATACAACGGTTGAGTGTAAAAGCATGCGACATGAGAATAGCAAGAACTTTCATAACTTCATGATTAGCATATTGCAAAACCGCAATGTAAGATACCTCACTAAATCGTCACCAGTCAAATCCCTCCCTGATCAGGCCCTTTGCAATGTCGAAGACATTTGCACAGTGCTCGTTATGTGCGCAGTTTTCTTCGGTCTAAAAGCATAATAAATTTCCTTACTAAGCTTTGCTTGATTTGTTAGGCTCTGTCAGGTTGGACGCATAAACGTTTGCAGCCTTCGATGTCATCCTAGCATGAACTTACGTGTTCCAGCTGCCGCGAAGAAGCCCTCTGTTTCTGATGCCGCTCACCGCCTGCAAACCGGTTGCACGGTTATTCATGTGGACCCTGAAACGAACCGCTCGGCGTTATGCAAACTCTGGCTGGACGCAAGGGGCACAATGATATTCTGGCGACGGATTCAGCTTCAGAACTCTTGCAGTAACTCTGACAGTACTCTTCGAAAAATGTCCTCCGGGGCCAGTGTCGAC